TTTGACTCTTGGCGCTTACAAATAGACTTATCCAATAATATCATTTCCCTCTGTAACTAAATGTATTTAGGGACGCGTGACGCAATGACTGGACCTTACTGGTCTTGTTGTTGGACTGAGATGAGGAGAGCCATTATGAGGAATTTCGATCATAGCTGCCGTCTATTTCGGATTTTATTACATCAGGCACGAGTTCCGTGGAGAACACCCGAGACCGTCGGGGTGCCAAGCCATAACAGGGCACGCAAGGAGGATGGTCCAGATGACGGACGTATTGTGTATTCTGATCGGAAGGTGTGTTGGGTCTGGACTTGTTCCAGTTAAGGAATTCACAGTGCTCGATCATCTGTCCTTCGTGGTACGACTGAGCATTGGGGACATATCCAAGAGATAGCAGTCTTCGCCATACAAGTTTCAGCCTGACACGGTCGTGGCCGGAATCAGAGAAGAGCATCTCTGTTTGGATGAGGCAGGACAACTCACAGTTCAAAATGCGTCATCTTCTATTATGAATATTTGATATACGTCTACTCTAGTAATACAGGGATACGAACGAAGATCTAGGGATGCGTAGAGTTGACGTTGGTTTCCTCCAAAGGGTTTCCAGCAGTCATCTGGGTCGAAAGAGAAAAGGGGCTGCGACGTGGTCTCTCTGATAGAGCAATGGTGTCTGTGTTGGTTGTAGGGAATGATTCAGCATTGGTCTGCGAGATGGACTCCCGAAGCCCCAAGAAGAATCTGCAAGCGAAGATGCTTGTGAGGGCGTAAACGCCATAGTCGGGAGAGAGCTTGAGATTGGCAGGCGCTTCAAGCCACTTGGTGAGTGGTGAGTAGTTGGTAAAGGGTTCCGGTATCCTGAACGTACAACAATTGCGCCGCATAATCTCAGGGCAAGTGCAAGCTGGTGACGCGTTTAGACCTTTGATCAGAATAAAGACGCGAGTCACTCACTCCAAAGTACAAGATTCCATCCCGATAGAGCCGTGTAAGGATCGGTAGACTGGCGGACGCTCCTTCCAATAACTTAAGCTTCTTCGCCCAAATAGAATGGGCAATCGTTGCGGCCAGGATAACCGTCTCGCATGGTACCTAGCGCGTGTGAGCCCGAGATAATTAAGCTATGGCCCGTACCATTGACAAATATGCACCGGCAATCATGCTGGCGGCACTCGGAGGCGGTGTTCCAGTCAGTCCACAGTAACCGTCGATGGACCCTGTAAAGCCTAACGATACTGTGAATGGAACAGTAGTGGTTTCCTCGATACGTACGCAGGAGCAGTGTCATCGCCGTAGTGCCCACGATTATCTGTGCTACGGCACTGAGAAAGAAGAAAACGGTGATGAATACGATAATCCAACGCGTCTTTTGGTACAGTGTACACATTCTTAGGTAGAATATAGCTGGCTTCGGCATTAGAGAATCGTAAATAGTGTGTGTTAAACACGAACCTGTCGACGAGAGAGAAACTGTGAATTCTAGAACAATTCCTGTGGCCGTTAGGGTCCTACATCTTGGGATTGGTGAGAAACTGCAGCTGGAGTGTTCCTCGTACTTGCCCCTGTCAAAAAGTCAGGCCGTTAGTCCTATCCTTGTTAAATTTCGCACAGTGCTGGTGTGTATGGAGGCAAATAAGCTGGCTATTAGAAGAGATAAACCTATCATGGGCGAATATCGTGTCTGTTCGCATCAGATGAGAGCGCGCGCTTCCTCGTACGATTGTACGCACGTAGAAGAAGACAAACTTCCCGAGCCATCCACCCCACGACGTCCACATAAGGCTAATCTAATCATGACAAGTCAGGCGCAAGCAGCATCGTTAGTAGATTGACCAACCTCGAGCGAAAGTGTCAGGATGTAGTCGTATATGAACACCGTAATTGCAGAGACGGCGGCGTAGTGCACGATCTGTTTGAACCACACAAATTGCACCACTGACGCCATGAGCACCGCTGAGTTACTGAGGTGGAGAGGGCCAACTACCGAGTCGTATGTAAGTTGGCCCTTCGCCCGCATTTTTAACCTCGGTCAGGCAAGCACCGTACCCTTGGCTCAAACTGCCTTGCACAAGGCGACTTTGTCGTAACCGTCCGTCTGAACGCCGCAATAGAACCCATCCACGTAATATGACTCTATTTGAAAGCCGGCATCGGCCGTGCCCGCCTCAAGTCTCGATCCGGTCTAGTGAAATGTCAGCGCGTCTTTGTTTGTTGATTGCTTTGTCATTTGGCTCGAAATGAATCATATTTCAAGCACCCGCGCGTATCAGGCTTCAGTCTGTCGATTCTGTTGACCACGTTGGCGTGGTCAGGGTTCAAGTTTGTACTCAACAATAATGAGAAACCCTCCCACTACGGTCTCCGTCGGATTTCCAATCTAAACATCTAAACAATATATCCTGATGATAATCCCTTAGTTAGCGTATTCCTAGTCGCTGTCCCCTACTAGGAGATATCATCTAGATACCCGTATCCTCGAACTATGAAAGTTAGTAGCACGCATGTTTGCGGATGTAGTTATAAACGAGAGGACAAGATAGATGCAGACACAGGAACATTCTCGAGATGCGTTGAACTCACATTTCTACGACCGATTCGTCCTATGGCCTCCATTTGCATTCCGTATGGCAGGCAGTACGTATATCAAGGATAGTCCTCCGCGAGCACCAGAGTCGTCATTATCGCCACTGTAGGAACAGAGAACGATCTGCTCCTCAGAAATGGACTTGCGAAGCTCCAGGAAGAATCTATACGAGACAATGCTTGTGAAGGCATAGGCGGGATAGTCAGAGGTGAACTTGAGATGATCGGGTGCGACAAGCCACTGGGATCATGGTCACCAGTGAATCAGGGAGTGCTCTGGGAGTCAGAACTGACCATGAGTGCGCTACATAGGCACAGAGCGCAGGCAAGCTAGCGACAATTAACGCAGCAACATACAGCGAGGATGAAACGCTTACTAGAAAGTATGCTATTCCATCAAGACAGACTTGTGTAAAGATAGGTAACGACGTGGACCCTCCATTTAGCAAATAGAGGGATTTGGTCCGAGCCGAGGGGCTACGGTTGCCACCAGAATAGCCCTTGCATGGTAAGTAATGTAGTTGAGCTCGATAAACGGGATAGGATAAGCTCACCATTGCTAAGTGTACTGTGCCCGCGGTGATTCTATGCAAATCTTTTTCTTGCATCCGCAAGGTAGGTGCTGTATTCACCAGCCGCCCCAGTGGAAACTACGATGTATCATTCGCTACAATTAGAATACTGTTGTAGGACGTAGAGGTAAGAAGTATCAGCGTATTTGAAACCTAGGACGCGTGAGGTGAGAGGCAAGACCAGTAAGGTCCGGCCGCATCGTCCCGCGTCCCTAAATACATTGAGTTATGACGTGAGCTATTACTATCGGCTAATCTATTTAGTGAGCGCTAAAGTCAAAGGTAAACCTTCAACAACCCCCTGACCCTGTGACTTAGCGCATGGACTGAGTACGAGCATGTGGATGAGGAATCAGACCAAGCATTTTGGCAAACTGTTCGAACTTGATGCGGCCTAGTGGTTTGGTGAAGATGTCGGCAACATTGACAGCTCCAGGGATATGAGCAACGCGGATTTCATTATTGGCAACCCTCTCGCGAATCCAGTTGAAGCTACGGTGAACGTGCTTCATGGTGGACTGGTGTTCTGGGTTCTTGGCAACTTGGATGGCAGAGGCGTTGTCAACAAATAGGGTGGATGGATAGGACGCAGTGTCGTAGCCAATTTCGTCGAGGAATGACCGCATCCAGATCATTTCGCACCCAGTGGCAGAGGCTGTTGTATACTCCGACTCCGTTGATGATAGTGATGTGTGGCGCTGGAGTCGGCTACTCCACATTACAGCGCCGCCACCAATTGACATGACAAAACCAGCTGTTGAGCGGGTATTATCAGCGTTTCCACCCAGATCGGCATCGCTTTGCGTCGTGAACAGTTCGTCAGAGTCGGGTTTGAGGCCGTAGGTGAGCTTGTAGTTTGTTGTTTTGCGGAGATACCGCAGTACCCGTTTGAGAGCTAGCCAGTGTGCTTGTCCAGGATTCTCGCTGAACCGACAGAGCACCCCCACAGCATATGAGATGTCTGGTCGAGCGGCAGTTGCGAGATAAATGAGCTTTCCAAGGGCCTCTCGATAGGGTACGTTCTGCATTTCCCACTTCTACTGCTCAGTTTGTGGTGAATCCTTGGTTGAGAGGAGTGGCTTTTCAGCCATAGGCGTGTCGGCGCCATTACACTCCTGCATTTTGTAGGTTTCAAGAATCTGTTCAATGTATGCAGGTTGAGAGAGGGAGATGGTATGGGATTGGCGATCGCGCTCGGGCTTGACACCAAGTAGGAATGAGGTAGGGCCTTGGTCATGGATCTTGAAGCGTGCTTTGAGCTCATCCTTCACCATTTGAATGGCTTCGGATGACTTTGATGCAAACAGTAAGTCATCGACATGGACTGGTACAATGATCTTCACACTGTCGCGTTCATAGATGAAGACACTGTGATCGCTTTCGAGACGTTTGAATCCAATTTCTGATAGGACAGTGTGTAGCTTCACAGACCAGATGCGAGGGCCTTGTTTGATTCCAAAGAGGCCCTTGAGAAGTTGAAGCACCCAGCTCGTACCTTCATAGCCCTCAAACTCGACACCTTCTGGCTTTTGCATGTAGACCTCTGCATCAATCTCACCATTGAGGAAGGCGGTTGATATGTCTACTGACTCTAGCTCCCAGTCTTCGAGCGCTGCGAGTGCTATGATGGTGCGAGGGGCACCAAAGCGAGCTGTTGGTGCAAAGGTCTCTGTGTAGTCAATTCCCTCTCGTTGTGCATATCCCTTTGCCACAATTCGTCCCTTGTATTTGCTAATAGACCCGTCGGCATCACGCTTGATTTTGAATACCCAACGTGAGCCGATAGCCTTTTTGCCTTGTGGGAGTCGCACAAGCTTCCACGTGCCGTTTTCCAGATGAGCTCTGACCTCTTCTATAGCCGCTTGGACATACTTGTCGCCGTCAGGGCGTTTCAGGGCCTCTCCCAGTGTTGTTGGCTCGCGGCTTGTAGACGTGTTTAAAGCAGCTTCGACACCATCAACAATGGGAATCAGGATGTGATCGGGCGCTTTGAAGTTCGGCTTGGGTCTCCAGCATCGAGCTTTAGTTGGCACATAAGAGCTGGAATTCAAGGGTAGGGATGCTGTAGGCTCGCGCATCTGCTCTGCACGACGCTGCTACCTCGTGCGAATCAAGGATTATTCTTCATCGCTTTAGTCCTTGTCCTAGTTACCATCTCCATTCGCTACATTGTTCCCGTTCTGTCCCTTATGGTCCTCTGACCGTCGTCACTCTTTTACCCCTATACCTGAGTCAGATGCCTTCTGCCCGTCCCGATTTACATCCTCAGTTGCTGGATTTCTTCCGGATCTATTTCCAGAGGCTCAATATGGCCTGGAGTATGAGTGTTCTGGATTATCAGAAGAGTAGACTTGCTCCTTGTAACTGGCAGCTGGATATACACGAGTTACACAGAGTTTCTTTTCGTCTAAAGTCGACTTTCTTCATCGTTCCTCGAATACAAAGTCTCGACTCGACGTTCAGAACGTCTCCCTCTCACCAGAAAACCTTACAGATGCGTCTTCCTTGTGGTAGGCATTATCTTAGTCAGGCTCATTTGATTCGAGATCCGAGTCAGTTCTCCAGTCAAAGTGCCTGGCTGACTCGCAATTTGTGTCATCGTGCCAGGGAGGTTCCTAGGAACAGCTATAAATTAGTCTGGTCATTGAGTACTCGAAGTTCACGACTCTCGGGCAACCTGAGAAACTGTGGTTTAGGCTGCGCAGGCGCTGGTGCTGGTGGAGGGACAGGCTCGTGGGGAATAGGTGCTGGTACAGGTCGCCCTGCAACGTGGACAGGAGGATGAGTGTCTGGAGGTGGAATGGATGATGAAGAGGTGTTGATTTCCTCGAGATCTGGCAGCTGGATGTAGTCAGAGAGGTTCGGGGTCGGTTCCTTTGCAAACGAGGTGCCCGGAAAGACTCTCTCATCGAATACAGCGCTGTCGCTGTGTATAATCTTGCGTGTCTGCAGGTTCCAGAACACCCAGCCAGGGCGGTCGGATGGGTACCCGACAAAGATGCACTTCTCAGTGTGCGAATCGAGAGCATTCCGCTGTGATTTTGGGACAAAGACATAGGCAAGGCATCCAAATACTCGAAGGTGATTAACGCTGGAGCTTTACATGCCAGTGTTCTGTAAGGTTTTTGGTGAGTGAAGACATTTGAGAACGGAGTCGGGAACTTTGTATTCGAGGAACGATGAATAAAGTCCACTGTAGACAGAAAAAAAGAACCTGTGTAGCCAACGCGTATCATGAGGACGGTTACAAAGGGAGTACAAGTCTACTCTTCTGATACGAGAACAGTCCAAATACTACGAGCTATATGGAAATTGTGAAATAGATCCCGGAATGAATGGAAGGAACTGAGGATGTAAGTCAGGACGGGCAGAGGCATCTGGCTCGGGTATGGGGTAAAAAGGTAGCAATGGTCAGAGGACCATAAGGGTGAGGCAGAGACAATGTGGCAGATGGAGATGGCCCAGCTTTAGGGTTTCAGATGCTCTGATGAAATAATCGCACAATTCACCTGAGCTCTGCTGGCATCATTTTAGGCTGCACACAGGGACCTACATCATTCATATAATTGTCTTTCCATTGTGAACTTGGGCTTTGATTGAACTCCATGGACAGTGGCAAGTGCCTTAAAACCCAAAAGATGGCGGAAGATTCGCTTCTGTAAGTTTAGCGATTGTCCCTTCAGCTATCCATCCAGTTCGCTTGCTCCGACCATCCATTCTGCTCATGTTGCAGCAACTATGGTGCATTCCTTGTAATCCCAGCAGAGAGATGCAGTATTGGGTCAAACTCTTTTCCACTGAACTCATGCCTTTATCATCTCACGCACAAGTGTACCAAGTGCTGGCCTGTCTGGTCCTCAGCAAGCTTATGGAACTTGCAAAAAGCCTTGGGTGCTCCATCTTTCAGTGGAGAAATTGAAGTGTGAGGAAGCAAGAGTCAAACGCATCATCACCATAGCCATCTAGTACTTGGCGCAGTGTGGAATGGACTCATGATTGGGCCTTTAAGATCGATAAAAGGCCTTAATGGAGTTGCATGGGTTGCTGGCGTAGTAGTAACCAGAATTGCTCGAGTCTGTTTCCCTGCATACACGATTTGCGCATATAGGTCGGGCTTTGCATTTGAGGGAGTCTTTGCCAAGTACGAATTCATAGAGGTCGTGCAGAAAAAGTATGCTCTTTCATGCTCGAGACGGTACTGGGTAATTGTCCTTTGAGGACTAGGAATGCTGGTCGTTCCTTTGAGTTGGACATTCTTTGTGAATTATGCGCAGAGGCGATTGACTGATCTGTAGTTTCTTATAGCAACAAGTGAAACCATAACCTGTTGATACTAGGATGCGTGAGTGAGAGGCAAGATATTATATATGGTGCGCGTAACAAACTAGGACGTGTGATAATTGAGAGCAAGACAGCAGTAAGGTCTGCAACAACAATAAATCCGCGTCATAAATCCCATTAATTTACAATGTGAGCTATTACAATTGGCTAAGTCTATTTAGTGAGCACTAAGAGTCAAAGGGTGAACCTTCAACAGGAAACAACATTGTCAAGGGCACCGCTGAGCACTGCTGTATTTCAGACTGATTATGAGATGTATGTCTCCTATGTAATTGGCTAACTGGTTGTGATGGAATGAGGGAATGACGCCGTCTACCCATTCTAATGGTGCCCAGATAGTCATGTCGGCTACAAGGTGTGCCAAGTCAGGGCAAAGAGCCTTTCCAAAGTGACTTTTGTCCCCAACAAGCTCTTTAAGCAGAATCAAGGTCTCTTCAACGTATCATCCCCTCGTTAGAATGCCAAACCAAGCCGCATTGCATCTGAGATACAGTGGGCTCCAAGACTGTTCCAATGTTAGTCACAGGTGGCTTGTCGGCCTGATTACTCAATAAGGGCCTATACTAAACTCATGAAACCTTTATGATAGATAGATTAGCTTCTTATCCCATCTCTCCATGATCTCTGCATCATATTCTCAGGCACTCTGCAGGAGCGGCAAGGCGAATTAAATTTTATTGTCCCCACTTGGCAATAGCACCATATATATCCTAGGCTGATACATTCACTCATAACTATGAGCTTGTTCGAACTTTGGTCCACAATGTCCCACACTGGAAATCAGTGAAATCAAGCTTGGTCGCTCTAAGGTGACTTGAAGTGGGTATAGTCAGAACAAGACGTGGGTGCTTCAGTCCATGACGATTATTAGGTGGTACCCAGAAGAGGTATTGACCAGAAGACTGCACCCATCCGTCGGGCAGCAAAGAACAATCACCAAATCTAGGCATAAAGAGAACTGGATCAGTGGAAAGAAATTTGATATGGCTAGAGAAACGTGTTCTATTTGATGGATTACCTGCATTTAGCATACGGTCAGTCTCCATAACAAACTGACACTACAAACCAAAGAGATATTTAGAATCGACTCACCATTGTCCGAACTCAAGATTTGAATTGTCTTACCAATGGAGCCAGAGACAACTTGTGTGCCATCTGGTGAGCACGCGACAGTGTTGACGAAGGATTCATGACCTTGGAGTGGCTCTCCCAATGGCTGGCCAGTCTCTGCATCCCACTGTCGAATTGTGCTGTCGCTTGAGCCAGAGACGATTCGTGTGCCATCTGGTGAGAATGCGACAGCGTTCACCCAGGATTCATGACCTTGGAGTGGCTCTCCCAATGGCTGGCCAGTCTCTGCATCCCACTGTCGAATTGTGCTGTCGCTTGAGCCAGAGACGATTCGTGTGCCATCTGGTGAGAATGCGACAGCCATGACCTCGTCTTCATGACCTTGGAGTGGCTCTCCCAATGGCTGGCCAGTCTCTGCATCCCACTGTCGAATTGTGCTGTCGCTTGAGCCAGAGACGATTCGTGTGCCATCTGGTGAGAATGCGACAGCCATGACCTCGTCTTCATGACCTTGGAGTGGCTCTCCCAATGGCTGGCCAGTCTCTGCATCCCACTGTCGAATTGTGCTGTCCCTTGAGCCAGAGACGATTCGTGTGCCATCTGGTGAGAATGCGACAGCCATGACCTCGTCTTCATGACCTTGGAGTGGCTCTCCCAATGGCTGGCCAGTCTCTGCATCCCACTGTCGAATTGTGCTGTCCCTTGAGCCAGAGACGATTCGTGTGCCATCTGGTGAGAATGCGACAGCGTTCACCCAGTATTCATGACCTTGGAGTGGCTCTCCCAATGGCTGGCCAGTCTCTGCATCCCACTGTCGAATTGTGCTGTCCCTTGAGCCAGAGACGATTCGTGTGCCATCTGGTGAGAATGCGACAGCGTTCACCCAGGATTCATGACCTTGGAGTGGCTCTCCCAATGGCTGGCCAGTCTCTGCATCCCACTGTCGAATTGTGCTGTCCCTTGAGCCAGAGACGATTCGTGTGCCATCTGGTGAGAATGCGACAGCGTTGACCGAGTATTCATGACCTTGGAGTGGCTCTCCCAATGGCTGGCCAGTCTCTGCATCCCACTGTCGAATTGTGCTGTCGCTTGAGCCAGAGACGATTCGTGTGCCATCTGGTGAGAATGCGACAGCGTTCACCCAGTATTCATGACCTTGGAGTGGCTCTCCCAATGGCTGGCCAGTCTCTGCATCCCACTGTCGAATTGTGCTGTCGCTTGAGCCAGAGACGATTCGTGTGCCATCTGGTGAGAATGCGACAGCGTTCACCCAGTATTCATGACCTTGGAGTGGCTCTCCCAATGGCTGGCCAGTCTCTGCATCCCACTGTCGAATTGTCCTGTCCCTTGAGCCAGAGACGATTCGTGTGCCATCTGGTGAGAATGCGACAGCGTACACCAAGGATTCATGACCTTGGAGTGGCTCTCCCAATGGCTGGCCAGTCTCTGCATCCCACTGTCGAATTGTCCTGTCCCTTGAGCCAGAGACGATTCGTGTGCCATCTGGTGAGAATGCGACAGCCATGACCGAGTCTTCATGACCTTGGAGTGGCTCTCCCAATGGCTGGCCAGTCTCTGCATCCCACTGTCGAATTGTCCTGTCCCTTGAGCCAGAGACGATTCGTGTGCCATCTGGTGAGAATGCGACAGCCATGACCTCGTCTTCATGACCTTGGAGTGGCTCTCCCAATGGCTGGCCAGTCTCTGCATCCCACTGTCGAATTGTCCTGTCGCTTGAGCCAGAGACGATTCGTGTGCCATCTGGTGAGAATGCGACAGCGTTCACCGAGTATTCATGACCTTGGAGTGGCTCTCCCAATGGCTGGCCAGTCTCTGCATCCCACTGTCGAATTGTCCTGTCGCTTGAGCCAGAGACGATTCGTGTGCCATCTGGTGAGAATGAAACCGCTGTGACACTACGCTGGTGACCTAGCAGCGTTCTGGGAAGCTCACGAAATGTTTCTTCAAGCCCTCTGGTCACAATTAACGAATTCATATACTCCTTTAAACCCTCCGTATGAAGTACCGACTTCCGTGGACTGAATGGGAGAGATGAGATGTAGATGTGTGGTGCGCTGTCTTGGATTGGTACAGAGAATGCCATCAAAAACCGTCTGATGTCATTCATCCGACCTCGGATCTCTTGCTCAAGCTATCTGTTGCTTTAGTAATCGGAAGGTCTCAAATAGTCCACGCACACTGTTATGTTGCGTCGCAGCTCGCATTCCAAATACTGCCCGCATGACTCCTCCAGTCACGCTGAGGATCTCCATCCAATAGAGTGCGAATGGACTTTTGACTATACGTGCCAGCTCATTCCTTAGCCTGCGGCCCCAGTCACTGTCCATTGCGGCCACATGGAACGGCCAGTGCAAACTAGCATAGCGAAGCCTCCGCGAAATGAATTTCGCCACCCGGGCGTCAAGGTCTGTAATCTGCCTATTCAGATAGAAGGATGACTCGATTTGGCAAATATTAAACTTGAGCCCCTCCTTGCGCGATTTGAGAGTGTGAAGACACCATGACGCGGCTTGGCCATGTGCACGCGCGATGTTGATAAGATTCCTGTCGCAATCGCCGATAATTTCGGTGCTACAACGTCGTCGAAGGTATTCGACAAACGTGGGATGGCGAAACTGGATCAAGCATGTGATTGGATCCTCCTGATACACTTCCAGAATCCGTACCAGCGCTTCGGCACTCCCTTGTCCTTTGGTATGCTGAACAAGGTCTTCCAAGTCATGGGTGGTGAGTGGCTCGAACGCAGCAAGCAGCATACCGAGCATTTCAATGATAGCTGGTTTGGATGCTCGGTCAATGCGCTCGAAGACTAGGTCGTATACCTCGTCGATGGCTCCAGGCTGATCAATAGACGTCAGGCGATCATATATGGCCGCTGTATTGACCGCAGATGATTCATCATCGAGCATCCGACACGCAGTGCTCGCCCAAATGAACAGCCCCTTGGCCTTATCAACCAGTCGCTGGATCTTATCTGGCGTCAGGCGCCGGCCAAGCAATCGATGGACGTATATCGCAACGTCATCGATGTTGTCGCGGTGGCTAGCATCGTGGAGCCGATCTGTCAGCTTGGCCTTGATAGAAAGAGGTTCTAAAACCCTTTCGACCACAGGGTCTGGTCGACTTGTGATGAATATCCGAAGATTCTTGCTCTCCTGAGCAGCAGAAGCGAGAGTCTCAACCAGTTCTTTTCTCTGTGCTCCAGACTTGCATTCGTCGAGTGCATCTAAGACGAGGACTACCGTCTGTCGATGCTGGAGTGGGTCGGTGATGAGCATTCGAAACTGTTGATCAAAAGAGGCTCGCAGGAGAGCAGGATTCCGCTTTACTATCTCCGCAATCGGTGTCCCAAGCTCGGGAATATGTTGAGCGAGTTCCCTCGCCATGGTCGAGCAAAACTTTTCGATGTCTGAGCTTTCGCTGCTTGCCATGGAGAAGAAGAATCCGCCGCCTAAGATTCCTTGCTTCTTCCACTTCTCCATTGCAGTCATCGCGACGGTCGATTTTCCAGAGCCAGCTATATCACATAGCCAGAAGATCGGTTTTTCTGATGAATCGCCATCGGCCCATTGCGAGATTGTCTCGAGGACAGCCTGGCGAGTTCCTTGTAGACAGGTGGTATGGACAGAGGATGGGGCGAATGCGACTACCGGCAGTTGAGATACGAAAAGCGCGTCGTCTTGAGAATATTAGTAAACCTTCGTGTACACGAGATAGTTCATACCTGGTTGAGGGATGGTTCCTCCCTTCACGACGGCTACTCGTGGGTCAGGAAAGAATCAGCGATGAGTATGTTACGAACTGCGCAAGTTATTCTCCATAAACCATTTTTTGTGCACGGCATCGGGGGCGTTCTCAGCGCACTCCGTGAGATAGTAAGCAACTGCTTGGTAATCTTCACTCTCTTCCGTCTGGAATCTGACAAGGTTCTGGTGATCGCTATGGAGTACGACCGCAATAGCGTTTTGATCGCCAGCGATCACCGCCGAGTGATACGGAACATTCTATAAGCCAGTTAGCACCCACCCATAAGACGATTTAGCGCACCTACCAAATGTATCTGCTGTTCGTCGGCTCCGGTGCTGTATTCCTCGCAGAAGAAGACGCTGTTTATCTTTTTACTCGCGGTGAGATACAAGCTCTGGATGTTTTCGAGTTCATCCGAGTGAGCGTGAAGGTTCTTGACAATGACTTCTGTCGATTCCATACATGAGGCGAACGATCTTCTTAAGGAGCGTGTCTTCTACGCCGGAATGCGGGGTTCCAAAGAAGAGGATGGAATGGGTGGATACCACGATATTTCGTAGGCCGTCTTTTGATTCCAGGTCCTCATTGTTGCATATGACAAGCGCCTATGAGACCGTCAGGGTCAAAATGTAGTGGACATCCTCGGACGAACCCATTTGAGAATGATGCCTCCCAAATCGTGAGCAACAAAGATGATGGGGCGCTAGGGTGATTAGGGAAGAAGGCACCGGTTTACGGATGCCACTCACTCGAGCATCTTTACGCTTCCGTAAAATAGCTTGAGCCAGACCGACGGCGTGGCGGCGCATAGTCTGGGTCGATACGCACTCCGTACTGTGAGTGTCAGCGTCGTAGCCATAGGTCAGGATACGGGCACGAGGCAATGAGGACGGCAAGAATTGGCGTAGCCAAAGAACGCCATCGTCTGTCATCCAAGTCTTTTCTCTGTGACCATTTAAGCCGTGGATTGCTATGATACTGGAGCGGGGAGGTCAGCACGAAGCGACTACAGTGCCCCAGAATGTGCTTACTCGACGGTGGGATCCTCTGGGCATGCCAATTCCACCAACCCAAGATCCTCTTTCTTCGATGTTGGCTCGGGAAGTTCGAATATGTTGGGGTATGCAGTTGCAGCAACCAGGTCGTTGGCTTGTTCCCAAATCCAGGTACAGTAACTCAGAACTCGTTGAAATGACCATGCGTTGTCTTCCTCTTGCAGCATTGCGGACTCGTGAGTTGTTCAAACTGTCGATATTGTTGTCTGAAGGGGGTTCAAGACACACTGTAGGGGTGTTACAGTCCCAGCGTTGGCGCTGTACGTGGGTGCCGGGAGCAAGCCTCGTGGTTTGTGGGCTAACCAGCCAGATTACCGGTCCAAAGGGCTGATGTACATTGTCCAATCGCATGTCTTGTTTCGATAGACGCCAGACTCTGATTGGCGTGTGTTACTTTGGTTACATCCACTGATTGCGGATAAGATATCTCAGAACAGCCTCAGCGTGCCATTGTAGCGTTACTAAACATGTCAGTTAGCATTTGAGTACTCGTCGAATCAGCGATTATGGCCAAACGAGTTACCTTTGTTTGACCAAGTGTTCGTGCCGACCGCGACTCTGTAGTCTGCGGCTCTCGGTCCATTGCGCTGCGTTGTACCAATGTGTACAAGAAACTCTAGTATAATACAGGTTGATTCCTTTTCTACCGCAACTGTGCCCTCGGAAGCGTCCTTCGTGACTCTTCTACGGCTAGCTGCTCACGATGCGACTCTTTCGCCTTGAAGGTATCAACATTCGAGTCCTCAGCTCACCTAAAATCGACTCCCACTTCTTTGGCGTCGATCCGCTCCAGCGTTGGAGATTTGAGCCCGTCATCTAGCAGCCGCAGTCTGGCCCTATTCGACTCGGAGTGACCTTGGTATCGCTCGTTCAATCATCATGAGTGCGTAGTCTCATTCTACTCGACGCCCGACGTCTCCACGCGATTTCTGGATTTGCTGGCTCACATGTTCGAGGTCGAATACATCTTTCGAGCCAGACATGAACTGCATTTAGTATCAAACGTGTGTTTTCTGGTCAAGCAGCGCCTTTCGGGGTCAGTGGTTATGCTTGCGAGCATCCTGGACAAGAGAAATGGTCGCGATGGGTGGGGAAAGGACGTCATTTGAACACTCCGGTAGACATGCGCCTGCAGAGATATGTTTCGCGATAGCCATTGGACCCAGTGCGAACGTCGACGCGCTACTGCGCGCAGCGTCAAGATTCGCAGTGCGGCAGATGCACATTTCCTCTTGTATGCAGTGGTACGTTTCTATTCCACTCGTCCAACACAAATGCATACGCCATCCCATCCATAATCTCCTATGCGGTGTCAACGAGGATACATCCCAGGTAGATTGGTGACGGGAGATCTACAAGGCACTCGTTGTGCATTGGCCAGAGTCTCTTTTCCCTCGTCTCTATTCAACCGCCCATCATCACCTTGCTGGCACACAGTCTCGGCCCTCGCCCTGCGCTATCGTCCTCCTCTTCATGGTTATACCCATACACCCAGTCACCACCAGCACGCATACTCCATGTCAGTCGGTTGCAACATCGATACGCTTCCTCACTATGCAACCCCGCATCCACCAGCCCACCCTCCTAGGTCGAACTCGATGAGCGAGGCGGGTCAATACCAGGCGCCATGCCATACATACGACTATTCTCCTCGATCACCGCTGTCTCATTATCCAAACTACTATCCACCGCCCGGAGAACCGCACCCGTCTCTTTACTATGGCTACCACGCTCGCTCTCGATCGTACAATGGCTCTCCCCCAAACGCCTATCAATGCCATCCTCCACCTGTGCATCCTCCCTATTACCGTGAACCGGCCATGACCCAGTTCGACAGTCCCTCGGAAATGCACATGATGCGTTAAATGTCATACCCACTCGCCGCACCGCAGACATACGACCATCCATTTGCATACCAGCTACCGACTCTCACTCCAGCGCCCGCCAATGCAGCGCCAACTCAACAGTCAAAAGGCGGTGTACCACTAGTAGTCGTATAGGGGTAATTTTCATATCTTTCCATGTCTGATATTTTGCATTTCTACCACATGTACATAGTGCTGTGTGACTAATTGGTCGCCAGCCATGGAATCTAACCTTTTCCCCGTAAACAACGTCAGTGGCTTTGACCCTTTGCCTCAGTTTTGTAAAGTAAACTCGCCTTCGCAGCTGTCCAGCTTGACTCTTTGGCATCGGTATTGAAGTCAAGAAACTGGGGGAATAAGCCAAGAAGTTGCGGTCAGCCTGTTGTACAGGCTGACAAAGCTCACGGATATGCATTGGGAGCGCAAGGTCAGAGGAGAGGCTAGTGAGCTTGAGCTAAGGAAACAAAGGCTTAGAACAAAGGCTCAAGTGGGACTTTTCTAGGAGCAAAATACTCGTTGAAAATTGTGCAGACATTTCAATTACTGTGCCTGGTGAAGGCTTGTAAGACCCTTCCCTCTACTTCGTTACTGTCAGGGGATCTAAATTTGGGCAAATCGCCACGCGCAAGCTGGGAAACAACGTTGGATTCATTCAGGTTACTGTGTGTACACGCATTTTGACTGTAGTTAGAGTTATTCTGAAAATAAATTAATTAAAAAAATAAAAATAAAAATAATAAAAATCGAGCGGTTCCCCCGTCTATTGACCAGATTTCAAAGTTTACTTTTCCCCCCAGAGACTCGTGGCAAGACTAGAAAGGTGTCTATGGGATCACTATCGGCTGTAATCATTGTTGCAAATTGGGGTATGTTGAGCAAACAGCCGCGGACAACCGCATAGCTGTTTGTATGCCCATGTAGTTAGTCCGTGTTCATCCTGGTGCTGCGGGAGCCGCCGGTAGTCGAGGGTTGGCGAGATCGGTCGTAGAGCGCAGATGAGCGCTCGCCGTGCGTCACCATCGTAGGCATGAGCGAGCGGGGGGGAATACAAGCGTCGTCTACAGGTCGAATCAATAACGCCGACCGTCGAAAAAGGGGTGCTTACGGTTTCGACGGTCCGGGATCGTGTTGCGTCGGCCAGCATGTACTACCTCCAGAGGCGATCGAGAAGAGCCGTTCGAGGTTGCTTTGACGCAGCTGCGGGGCCTAAATAAGCGTCTGTTGGACGTCACCACTGTACGCTACAAAGACGGTCAGCAGCCCGTCTAAAATCAACAATGAGACGTACTCTTCATTGTATGTGATCTTCCATGCGCTCTAGGTGCTAGCAGCTCTCGCGTCGTCCGTCCAAAACGACAACATTCGGTAGGGATGCGTAGATGCGGCGGGTGCCGTCGTGTATGATTGAATTGAGTAAAGAGAGTCCGTTTCCTTGAATTCGTGTTGCCGGAAAGGCGTGGTTTGGCGAGCACCTTGACGATCCTCTGAAGGCCGGCGGGTGAGGGAGCAGTCAACCACAATGACGCTGGATCTGATTCCTAACAGGCCAGTTAGTACGATGAAACATCTGTGTGGTCTTTTGGGCATACCGTGTACTAAACGCGTTGGTGCTGGGTAACGGGATGTGGGATAAACGAGGGTGATGATAGAGCTGGGAGGAATCGACAAGACGGGTGTTGCTGATAAAAGACTGGCGTCCCTTGAGCGTGTCCTTGCATGATGGCATCATGCTCCTCGCGTCAGGCGGGACCAGACCACCTCCGAGGAAAGCGTCTCCCGCTTTTGCTCAAAGATCTGCCCTGGTTTAGTATCGTCGTCGTTTTTGCCACTATATGAGTTAAAAAAAACCACATATTAGCTCTATTTGTCCGCATGAACGCTCTCCAAAGTACGTACCTCACTGTGGCTTCCTCGTGCGCTCTGGATGACTTTGGATCGATGACTAGACGGGCCAAAATTTGAACGCTGTCCGACTTTTGGTTGCTCCCTTGGCTCTCGAGGCTGCAGACTGTCATCGATGGTTCATATCACACCGAAGGCGCCTATCCGTAGCCCCTCCTTCCGTGGGGGCCACGGGATTGGTCGGAAAATGGTACGAGTATCGTTGCTGTTCCATTGGCTTGCGCGTGTGCTCGCGCTTTATACATTGGGCGTCGACAATTGCGTCAATGCGTGCAATCTACCGCGATTCGAATGAGCCTGGATTAAGAAGAAAAGAATTGTTAGCGAGCTGAAGCCGTCCAAACGCTCGCAACACGCACTCGACATGTGCGCCCTCTCCTCAAAACCAAAGGCTGTGCGTCACGTCAAGGAAGAGTGGTCGAAGCGCGTCTGGGATGCAGTATTTGTGGTTGTGGTGATGCTCGGCGGCAAAAAAGATGCAGCGTGGTCGTGGGCGGGCCCAGGTGTTGCAGTTCTACTGGCGTTTGGTTTATCGTCCGTTATGACGGTAAGATATTTGGTGTGGGCTTCAAGTAGTGCTTGCGGGAATGCCTTGAACTTTGCCTCAAGGAGTGTTAGAAGGACCTTTCGGACATGGTCGAATAGCGCGTCGATAGCCTCGGTCACCTGGAAAGTCGCCTTGGATATTCGAGCTCTGTCTTGATGCCATTGAATCGTGGATGGCCTGATAAGATCGCCAAATCGGATCCAAGGTCAGCGCTGGACGTGGTCGAGCCCAAAGTTTGCGAGGTGCCGCTTGGACTCGACGGCGACATTGACGAGCGCGTAATGCCAGCCATGGGCTCGCCAGAGAAGACTATAGACCACCTACGTCTTTCTCCTGTGGAACCCCTGTCGACAGATTCGCTTCCAGATGTATCCATCAAAATCTATTCTTGCTCGTCGAGAATCCGATCATAATGACAGATGAGTTTGTGACGTTTTCAGTAAACAAGTTCCGCCTGCAAAGGCTCGGCTGATCTGTAAACAA